TTTGGAGTTTATGTCAAAATAAAAGCTTGGGGGCTTGGGGTGTTGCCAACAGAAATCTCGGAATCCATGTACAAAACGGCTTAATGTGTGTGGATTTTTTCCTGCTCCAATAGGTAAAATAAGATAGAGAAACTTCTGTACTCCAGCCTGTGTTCCAAATAGCTCCAAATATCTATGATTTACAATTCAAATTTGTGTTACACTTTCCAAATCCACTGAGCTGGCAGTTCTCAAAAACTATTGAACAATATTTTCTAAACCCATCTAGAATGTATTCCTATTCAAGAATCGTGGATTTTATGTATCTTCTAACCAGAAATAGTAGTAGAGGAACCCTTAAGCTCAGCTATGGGGATCCAGACAACAAACTAAACTATATACTATAGTATAAAGTGTATATATAATTATAAATCATGATGCATACATGGAGATGAAATTGTTTCATCCTGGGAAGCTCATGCAGGATTAACTAGAAGTTTGAAGAAGTTTAAATAATGTTACAGAGGTCTAGTAAATGGTAAATGGAGAAGAACCCGAGGTAACACTTTACATTACGGGCCGGTAAGTCCATGGTACTTACAGTGGTACTTCTAGGTACTTACAGTGGTACTTCTAGGTACTTACAGTGGTACTTACGGTGGTACTTACGGTGGTACTTACGGTGGTACTTACGGTGGTACTTACGGTGGTACTTACAGGGGTACTTACGGTGGTACTTACGGTGGTACTTACGGTGGTACTTACGGTGGTACTTACGGTGGTACTTACAGGGGTACTTACGGTGGTACTTACGGTGGTACTTACGGTGGTACTTACGGTGGTACTTACAGTGGTACTTACAGTGGTACTTCTAGGTACTTACAGTGGTACTTCTAGGTACTTACGGTGGTACTTACGGTGGTACTTACGGTGGTACTTACGGTGGTACTTACGGTGGTACTTACGGTGGTACTTACGGTGGTACTTACGGTGGTACTTACGGTGGTACTTACAGGGGTACTTACGGTGGTACTTACGGTGGTACTTACGGTGGTACTTACAGTGGTACTTACAGTGGTACTTACAGTGGTACTTACAGTGGTACTTCTAGGTACTTCTAGGTACTTACAGTGGTACTTCTAGTGGTACTTCTAGGTACTTATTGTGGTACTTACAGTGGTACTTCTAGGTACTTACAGTGGTACTTAGAGGTACTTATTGTGGTACTTACAGTGGTACTTCTAGGTACTTATTGTGATAATTCTAGATACAGCTGTAACTTAGTAATTCAGGGACACTACAGTATTATTCCTATGTAGTAAATGTGGTACTTCTACATACATACATACAGAGGTCATTTGTAGGATTGTTTGACTATAAAACATAAAACAACATTATGTAAAACAAACGTCTTTATTAATATGGAATAAGTAGCACAGAAAGGACAGTATAAATACATTTAATGCATATTTCAAAACAAGTTTCAAGGACAAGGGAAACACTGCAAGAACTAGGTACCCAACCCAAGTAACAAGAATTACACATTACCAGGTACTTACCAGCCAAGTACCAGGTACTTACCAGCAAGTACCAGGTACTTACCAGCAAGTACCAGGTACTTAACAGCAAGTACCAGGTACTTACCAGCAAGTACCAGGTACTTACCAGCAAGTACCAGGTACTTACCAGCAAGTACCAGGTACTTAACAGCAAGTACCAGGTACTTACCATAGGGACTGGCCCATAATAAGACAAAGGACTTTAACATAAGTACCAGTGATAACACCAGTAATTATACAGTAAGTACCAGGTACTTACCATAGGGACTGGCCCATAATAAGACAAAGGACTTTAACATAAGTACCAGTGATAACACCAGTAATTATATAGTAAGTACCAGGTACTTACCATAGGGACTGGCCCATAATAAGACAAAGGACTTTAACATAAGTACCAGTGATAACACCAGTAATTATATAGTAAGTACCAGGTACTTACCATAGGGACTGGCCCATAATAAGACAAAGGACTTTAACATAAGTACCAGTGATAACACCAGTAATTATATAGTAAGTACCAGGTACTTACCATAGGAACTGGCCCATAATAAGACAAAGGACTTACCCATAAGTACTAGTGATACCAGTAATTATATAGTATACCATGTACTTACCAGCAAGTACCTGGTACTTGCTGGTAAGTACCTGGTACTTGCTGTTAAGTACCTGGTACTTGCTGGTAAGTACCTGGTACTTGCTGGTAAGTACCTGGTACTTGCTGGTAAGTACCTGGTACTTGCTGGTAAGTACCTGGTACTTGCTGGTAAGTACATGGTATACTATATAATTACTGGTATCACTAGTACTTATGGGTAAGTCCTTTGTCTTATTATGGGCCAGTTTCTATGGTAAGTACCTGGTACTTACTATATAATTACTGGTGTTATCACTGGTACTTATGTTAAAGTCCTTTGTCTTATTATGGGCCAGTCCCTATGGTAAGTACCTGGTACTTGCTGGTAAGTACATGGTACTTGCTGGTAAGTACATGGTATACTATATAATTACTGGTATCACTAGTACTTATGGGTAAGTCCTTTGTCTTATTATGGGCCAGTTCCTATGGTAAGTACCTGGTACTTACTATATAATTACTGGTGTTATCACTGGTACTTATGTTAAAGTCCTTTGTCTTATTATGGGCCAGTCCCTATGGTAAGTACCTGGTACTTACTGTATAATTACTGGTGTTATCACTGGTACTTATGTTAAAGTCCTTTGTCTTATTATGGGCCAGTCCCTATGGTAAGTACCTGGTACTTGCTGTTAAGTACCTGGTACTTGCTGTTAAGTACCTGGTACTTGCTGGTAAGTACCTGGTACTTGCTGGTAAGTACCTGGTACTTGGCTGGTAAGTACCTGGTAATGTGTAATTCTTGTTACTTGGGTTGGGTACCTAGTTCTTGCAGTGTTTCCCTTGTCCTTGAAACTTGTTTTGAAATATGCATTAAATGTATTTATACTGTCCTTTCTGTGCTACTTATTCCATATTAATAAAGACGTTTGTTTTACATAATGTTGTTTTATGTTTTATAGTCAAACAATCCTACAAATGACCTCTGTATGTATGTATGTAGAAGTACCACATTTACTACATAGGAATAATACTGTAGTGTCCTTGAATTACTAAGTTACAGCTGTATCTAGAATTATCACAATAAGTACCTAGAAGTACCACTGTAAGTACCACAATAAGTACCTCTAAGTACCACTGTAAGTACCTAGAAGTACCACTGTAAGTACCACAATAAGTACCTAGAAGTACCACTAGAAGTACCACTGTAAGTACCTAGAAGTACCTAGAAGTACCACTGTAAGTACCACTGTAAGTACCACTGTAAGTACCACTGTAAGTACCACTGTAAGTACCACTGTAAGTACCACCGTAAGTACCACCGTAAGTACCACCGTAAGTACCACCGTAAGTACCACCGTAAGTACCACCGTAAGTACCACCGTAAGTACCACCGTAAGTACCACCGTAAGTACCACTGTAAGTACCTAGAAGTACCACTGTAAGTACCTAGAAGTACCACTGTAAGTACCACTGTAAGTACCACCGTAAGTACCACCGTAAGTACCACCGTAAGTACCACCGTAAGTACCACCGTAAGTACCCCTGTAAGTACCACCGTAAGTACCACCGTAAGTACCACCGTAAGTACCACCGTAAGTACCACCGTAAGTACCACCGTAAGTACCTAGAAGTACCACTGTAAGTACCTAGAAGTACCACTGTAAGTACCATGGACTTACCGGCCCGTAATGTAAAGTGTTACCGAACCCGACCATAAGACTAGTAAGATCTAGTAAAAATAGCAATATCAAAGTCAAAGGTGCATTCAACAACAAATCCACTATCAATCCACAAAGCAAAGCGTTTATTTCACCTGATTAAGTTAGCTTTCCCATTCACAATACCCGCGTAACCTAGTCCCATAGTTGAACAGCTGAGGCAGGCGCTAAGCTTCGCTCTGGACATTGATCCGTCCAGCCTGTGCTGCTTGGTCAGGGCTCATCCATTGATCCCACAGTGTACTGGGAGAGGGGGACGGCCTTCCCAGTGAAACCACTCCATTGATTAGCAGACATGTGGTAAGATTCAACAGCAGCAGTAGTGAAGGCGAGGTCTCATTGATCGGTCCAGAACTCAACTTCCCATCAGCTTGAGCTATGGGGCAAGACGAAGAATAGTTGTAGGGATGTTGAATTGTCAATGGCATACCAGTTTTGTAGAACTTTTTAAAAAAAATATGGATTTGCAACATAATTCCAACAGTGTCTAACCTGTGACACCTGTGTGTCTTTTTATGAATGAACCAAATTGTGATCTGAGTATAGAAACAAGAATACGCACATATCGATGCCATTTTGCACCCATTCCAACATATTCCACTTTAGAGGTCATTGCAGACAGCAGCATTTCCTATTTCAACTGTGCCAAAATGTCTGTAAAGAGCAGTAAAGTCCTTGGTATATCTCTATTTTATTGGGGGAAAATCATCTTTTTTGATGATTGGGGGAAAATCATCTTTTTTTATCAATAGTCCCAAATTATGGAGTGGGGGAAAAAAATCTATCATTCATAATCTCAAAAAAATGGCCAAAATAATCATAACTTTGTTGATATGATATATGACACTGAAACTAGTTTGGTCCATCCATTTTCCATCCGTTTATCAATAAAGGCAGAAAAAGTCAAATCTTTTGCCTCACAGCGAAAAGGCTATTAGTTCGATGACTAGAATGTGTGTGCGTAGCTTTTCGCAGATGCTCCGGTTTCCCCTTCCCCTATAGTAATTTCAGGCACCACCCCAAACAGCAGCAGCGGGGCGCCTTGTTCTCCACTCCATCAAAGTCTCCCCCTCTCTCTCTCCCCATCCTCTTCCCCACTGCTGCGGCACGCTTCCTAACCAGCCCTCTCGCGGCTCCAAACTACGCTGCTCTACATCAATTCTACGCATGGCAGAGGGAGTGATGAATGAACGGGCGTTCAGCGATGGACGCGGGGAGCAGAGGAACGCCACTGACCCCCACCGACACCCCCAAAACATGTGGTTAGAATCAAACAGCACACAAACATTGCAAGAGTCAAAAGGTACTGCGGTGGATATGTTTTGAAAAGAAATGAGGGTTCAAGATGGCTTCAATGCAGCACGCTTGTGCCATGTGCTGGGGAATAGCTTTGCAACTTGAAGCTCTTATATGTGTTATATTATATATTTTAGTGCACACATATTTTGGTGCATATTATTTGTCATATGAAACAGTAACTACTTCACAAAATAGGAATTATTTTTTTGAATTTATTGTGTTTGTATACACATGAAATAAAATAACAAAATATTACATGTGTGCAACTATATATGACTAATGTATTTTTTTAGTATTTTTCCACCCGTAATGATAATCATGAAAGAGGTAGGTTTTCCTCTGCTACTCCAGCGCTGGCGTCAATATAGGTCAAATTTGTTTTGATACAATGTGCTCCACGCAGCCAATGATTGAATGAATGAATGAACGCACACTCAAACGCACAACACGACTTGTAGTAAAATCATGATGAACATTGTAAAAAGCAATTTAACCATAAGCAAAAGCTGCATGCATCAGTGTACTGTATCTTATACTGTTACATTGATAACGATGTGAGTATAGCATTGCTGGTGACTCCAAGCATGGGTGAGGTCCTCCAAATTTACATAACATTTGAAGTGCAATTCTTCCTTATATAAAACAGATATTTGCAACTCATTTGCAACTTTTGAAATTAAGAACGCCATCCAAACTAAAACAGTGCACAATGCTACACAATAGGCTCCTTAAATGTAGTTTTAAATCACTATAGCCTTTAAGGAGTTGTAATCAAGCAAAACATGTCACCTTCATTTGGCAATCCATGTCCATTTGTATTATAGTTAGTCCTAATTACTTTTTCTTATGAAGAGTTTTATTTTTAAATATTGACTTGAGTCGATACTGTTTGAGAAAATCCTGACCTTGTCTTGTTTATTATGGGTCATAATCACCAAGTCATGCATGCGTCCAATTTTCCCTATTTCAAAAAAACAGAAGCAAAACTTCTCAATTCAACAATATTTCTCAAATATGCATGCTGCACCAGTCCCTCAGCAAAACTATGTTAACAAACCATTCATGCATGCACAATTCCTGAACAACATCTCATTGAACTTACAATGATAAAACTCTCCGAAGCGCAGGTATGCAGCGACTTCTTACCTGTCTGCCATATGTACGTTGCCTTAGTTTCTGCCGCACTTTCCGCCCCCAGTCCCGTAAAAAACAGCAGAATCCAAAGCAGCGTGGACTTCCAGAGGACCAGGGACCCCCCGAGGACTAACCCCAGCCTCCCCATGGCTAAGGGTCTCCTTCTTCCCCAATGCGGATGAGGAGAAGGTGGAGAAGAGAGAGAAAAAAACAACAAAAACAACCCAGCGAGTGGAAGGAGAGCCTGCCACGCGGTGTGAAGCTCAAGTCAAGGCTTTTGTCCAGCCGGCTCCGGGAGAAAAAGTAGTAAATCCCGACCAGTGGAGGACCAGAAGACCGGAGGGGGGGGACGTCCAAGCCCACGGAGCTCCCCTGGTCAAGGAGGAGGTGGGACGGGAAGAGCAGGAACAATAGATCCGGGGGGGAAAGCCAGCGTGGTGCGTGGAGGCTGCGTTGTATTGTGTTGTGTTGGTGGTGTGTGCCGGTTCATTGCGGAGCCCAGGATCCCCTCCCCTCTCTCTCCCTCGCTCGCTCGCTCTCTCCTTCACTCGAGTGCGCGCAGACACATGCTCGCACGCCCACTGCCCCCCCGTAACGGCAGCGTATAGCAGGAGCACAGGCAGCCCCCTCCTCCGTCAGGCTGCATGGGATTCAGGGAGGAGAGGCTGGAGAGAGAGACAGGTGCATGTGGAGGATATGGGAATGGGAGAATGTAATCGAAATGTAACAGGAGCGGAGGTTAAAGAGAGCATCCATTTTAAAGTTTATGCCCTATATGCTTTCAAGGAGAGATGCGATGGCGCTTCATATCAGAAATTGCGTTATTTCGTGGCTACTCCATTCATAAACTAGTACTGCTGAGGTGCAAGGGAAAAGGAACAAGATCAGTGGTTTTTAAATGTTGACATAAGAGAAGAACTAACAAATATCACACATCACCAATAATCAACTCGTCAACTAATTTAATGATTGATTCTTTTGTAACCTAACATAGCCTTAAACTTGCTGAGAACAGGTTTTATGACTCCCATAGTTCTATAACGGCTGCAGAATGTAATTATACTATCTTTACAAAGTATTTTTTTAATCAAACAACTCAATGTATTAAAAGTAAAGTTCTCCAGAAGCATCACTTGAGCTTTGTTTTTGTCAAATATAGAAAATATCTCATATTTACTGAGCTTTTGGGGGTTAAACATAATCATTGTGTGTTACATTATAAATTGTTTATTACACCTCTACAATAATTAAAGTAAATATTGCCACATAATTTGAAGTTAAAAAAAGACATGTATCTAGATAGGATGAAGATGCATATACAGACACTACTTTTTACCGGAGTTGCCAAAAATATCTCATATGGAGTGTAGAAATACTTGGCTAAATGCCGGCTTTGATCACAGCTGCTGCTCTCCTCCATTGGCCCTCTCATAACCCTACTATAAAAACTCTATTTGTATTTGAAGAGCGTCCTGTGTTAAACCTCTGCTGCTGCATTTTTGAAGATTTTCTGAAATCTCTCCAAGTGTAATCCATACTCCATGGATTACCCGCTGGACCATAATCCTCCCACATATTAAGTGCTCTACTGTTCCCTGGGTATTCAATATCGAAGACGGTTTTTCATATTTCTGTCTGTCCAGAAGTGGGAGTCAAAATTCACAATCTCACATCTTTGTAATTTTACACATTTTATAAGGGGAAAGCCCAATTAACATTAAACAACAGAAAAAATATACAGTACAGTAAAGATTCAACTGTAGGATTGTCGTATTGTAGTATTGGAAGATAGTATTGAAACTAGATACGAATGAGCAAGTATTGTTGATTTTTACTACAGCAATGTAAGGCTGGGCAATTCGCAAGAAAATATTGATGTTTAGGCTGCAAGCATCAACACATAATTTCCATTCAAATTACCTATGTTTAATTCTGTTTGCGTTGCTAGTGTCGCTGTAGAGAAAGTTACTCTGAGATTGAAGAAAAAGTTACTCTGAGATTGAAGAAAAAGTTACTCTGAGATTGAAGAAAAACAGTCCATGAACAAACCAACATCGGACACAAGTAAGCTAAAATTTGCACTACTTCAATAAATGGGAGAAATGAATCAAAGATGTGTTTTACAAGCTGTAGACTCAGTCAGATACATAAATTCTTCAAAACGAGAATTTATAAATATCGCAGCTGAGTTTTTTTCTCTTGTAGAAAAGGTTTGACATTTTTCATGGTGACAACACAACAGTAAATTCTGAAGGACAATTTCCAGTATTTATGTGCTGAACTCGAATCAAACTAAAAAGAGAGACCTTCTAATACACTTTCCTATTGACTCTGCAGATTCTCATAGCCTCATAGCCTCAGAAAACAGCTTACAATTCAAAAACTATAAAGCTGAGTTCACACCGGATCATGTTTTGCGGCGAGTTTCAATGCAAAGTCAATGGTGACGTACGTCGGTGCAAATGCTCGCATGTATGTAGCGGCACGCACGTTTGGTGAGATGAGATTCACTGAACATCATTGCTCCACACACGTGCGACAACCAATCGAAGAGCAGCAAGGTGGTCTGGGGGAAACAAGCCGCTCAAACACCCTCAGTTGACATTCTACTGCCACAGGATATAAGTGCTGCTAACGTGTTCGCCGAAACTCCTGTTATATGACTCTGGAGGATCTTGGGACACAGAGACGTCACCATCGCAGGGCAGTCCGTCACATTAGCTGCGTTTCCATTGAGTATCAAATTTCGAAATTTGAATTTGCGCATCATAAAATGTCTAATGGAAACGAGCAAATTTCGAATAAACCACACAGTTTTTCGATAAAAAGTTAATGCGCTTAAAATAGGTGGTTTTTTGGACGTATCGAAATTAAGTTTTTCGCAAAACGGCAATGGAAACACTTATTTCGATATAGCGGAGGAAGCCGAGCTGCTTTATTCAGTGAGTTTTGGCTGCGCTTCGTGTGGAGACTTGGGAGATACGTGGGAGAGGCATGGGGGAGAGACGGGGAAGAGACGTGGGAGAGACGGGGGAGAGACGGGGGAGAGGCATGGGGGAGAGACGGGGTAGAGACGGGGGAGAGGCATGGGGGAGAGGCATGGGGGAGAGGCATGGGGGAGAGACGGGGTAGAGACGGGGGAGAGGCATGGGGGAGAGGCATGGGGGAGAGGCATGGGGGAGAGACGGGGAAGAGACGGGGAAGAGACGGGGGAGACAGGCAAGACCCGTGTCTATGGTTCTGTGGTTCTGTGTTCAGTTTCTCCCGGGGTCAGAGAGGATGAGAGCCGCAGCAGAAGTCAAGACATTAATATATCTCACGTAAATCAAAGTGTTGTTTACTTCTGTTGCCATGTTGACGTACTAGAAACTAGTGAATAAACGCGCGAAAATAGTGTATACTTATTCGAATATGTCTTAATGGAAACGGCCGCTTTTGCGAATTACAGGTTTTTCGAATTTTGAAATGTATCGAAAAAGTTTTTGCGCATTATTCAATGGAAACGCAGCTAGTGACTAAACTCATGCGGTTGAAATTTAGTGAACGCGTGTCCATGGGTCCATGAACGCAGGTACATAAGTCGGCGGAAGGTACGCAGCTTTAGGCAGGCATGTCTAAATTGCAGCCCCCTCAGTCATGTGATGTGCCCTGCCTTTGAGATCATGCATACAAGTTCTCCGTGTCGTGCAGCCAACTTCAGCTCAAGCAATATATGCATGCTGTAACTAGTCAGAAAGCTTTAGAATCCAGCCGCTGACTTTATTTTGTTTATTCAAACATTTATTTTTGATTGCTTCACTCACTAAGGTGAGATAGTAAACATGTCATTTGGCCAACTTCAGCTCTATCAGACATGGATCAATATGAACATGTTATACCTAATTTTTTATGTTCAAAACAGCCTAAATCCAGTCAAAATATGTGACTGTCTGGGTCAGCCCCTTGGATACGATCTGTTTAAAAACATAAAAAGTTTGCTATAAAAGAAAAGTTTCATTGGAACTTGTTTTTTGTATTGATTAAGAAACGCATGAGATCTTTGTTGCCGATGGTTGTGTGCAACTGTGTCTTTGTTTACTACCATCTTCTCAAATGAAGATTGCATAACTGGAAGAAATGGCCTTACCTTTTTGATATGGAAAGGAGGACTCGACCTGGAACAAGAGTGAGGTAATTGGTGCACTTCTTGGAAAAGCAAAAGTCTGAAAGAGGAAAAAAAATAAGGTGATTAAACCACTCAGAGATGTACTGAATTTTCATCGTAGTCTTTAATGATTTCAACCCAAACAAATGTTGTTTGTTTTTTATCGATGATCCATTTGCTTAAATCCAAAGCACTTTCAGTCAAGCAGAACATTTGAATTTGTATTCGACTGACGTTTTATTGGACGTTTGTTTATTCTCTGATTTGGGATTATCAACGTTTATGGACATTGGTCATTTGCCCTTTTATGGACCAAAGACTCTGTGTTTTTTTTTCATCATTGCATTCCTTTTGGTTGAACTGTTTGATTCTCTGATCTGTGTTGGTGAAATAACGGTTTTGAAAAGTTCTCCGAGATCGTGTGATTTAGGGCTATACGAAAATAGGTTGAATTGAATATTCTACCAAGAATTTTATGATCACTTTGACACAATGTTTTATTTAGTATTGGTGCAAGAACCTTATGACATTGCTATAACTATGACAAAAACAAAAAACATCAAAATAAAAGTAGGAGGTCTAAACTGGGCTGAACCAAACAGAACCACAGCTAACGTGGACAAAAGCAGGAGCGGTCATGTAGAAAGGAGTACGTTTTCTTCCACTTGACCTTGTCCGGTCTCTGGCTCTCCTCCATAAGCCCATAGAACCAGTGAGGAGGCGTCATAAATCTGATCAGGGCCACGTGAGGCTCTCGCTGGGATGGACGGTGTCAGTCAGTCTGCACACCACGCTCACTTCATTTAGTATCTGCACAAATGGTATTTTTAGCTTCCATATGATTACATAGAGCTTTTAACTGGAATGCATTGCTCAATTAAAGGTCCCATATTACGCTTTTAGACTTTTCTCTGCTTTAAACATGATTACAGTACTATTTGGCCTCATACACATGCCCAGCAAAGTTTTTTCATCGATTCTGTCAATCTTTAGTTAGAGAGCGATCTTTCTCCTTCAACCTCGAGAGGCAGTGAAACGCCCGGGTCCACATCTGTGACGATTACCACACTGATGACGAATATGACACGCATACGCCCATTTGCTTTGTATTCAAAATGGTTTTTAAATACTGTCATCAATACAGGGAAAACAATACACAATAGGTATGCTGTTTTTTGTCTGTAAGTACAGTGACGCCAACTCATTGTATACTTCTGTATACTAATTAATTAGGGCCTCATTGTGGATCAAGGACATAGGGCTCGATGTT